GGCTATTGCAAGTAGGGTCCCAGAAAAAGCAAGAACAGACCCATCCCCTCCCTTCAACCCCCCCCCCCCCCCAAGATGCGTTGTGACAACTTTTTACAAGGTGATATTACATCTTATAGGGTAATTTTTATTTACTTTTGATAGAAGTATAAATATTATATGCAAATAAATTTTTGGAGGTGTGAGTTATGACAAGAAGTGAACACTTCCTTAAGAAAAATTTTAAGGTTAATGAAATCTATATTGTTTTATAATAAGTATAATTTTATAATTCTTTTCGCGATTTGTTGCAAGGTATATTAGTAAGTTAAAAATAAACGTACATTAAATTTCTTGACAATGCATTTTTATTACAAATTTAATAAGAAATGTTATTTTATTACATTAAACTTTTACAAAAAGGGTATTTTCAAAAAAAAAAATATATTTAGGGACAGCAACTTGCTGATATTGATTTTTAAGGGTAAAGCTTTTTAATTTTCATTATAAATAAAAACAAAAAAAAATTAAATTATTAATAAAAAAAAAATTCATCTGAAAAGTCGAATTTTTAAGGGTTCGCACCTGAGGCTTTTTGCATAGAAATCGTATGCCATTTAACTATATATTATTATTATTACCTAATAATACTTTCACGCATTTTATTCGCAAGCGTTATAGAATCCAAATACATGGTATGTACGTGGATTTTAATTAGTAGCGAATTATTTTATGCGTATACAGTAATTAATCGCTTAAAGTGCTTTTTGTTAACGGTAATTTATGATTTTAAGCGACATAACTCAAAGCGAGGTTCTAAAACAAATCACCAAAAAATATTAGATGTTAAATGGAGCTAATCATTGGTTTAATTATGGACTTTTTTGTAATTATTTTTAAGAGCTAATAAACATATCTATTTGTATGTTGTAATGGTGTGTTTCTGAAAAAAAAATTTTAACTTAAAATACCTCACACCCAGAATGGAACATAATTTCTAAACTACATACACAATACTTGCAAGGCTTGCGACACATGACTTTAAAACAACCGCAATTGAAGCTTTGAGCCACCTCACACAAATTAAGGATTACTGATATTAAATGGGCTCAGTTGCAGGAGTTGAAATATGTAAAACCAAAAGATTACCACTTATTTTACGACACTTTGTCACATTAATTTTTTATTTTAATAATTAGTTTGGGGTACTTGGTCACGAAGAACAATGTTTATGAATTAGTTTCTGTTTGCAAATAAAATTAATATATTATAATTAAATCATTTGAATTACATCGTTTCAAAATTTTATTTATTCCTACGTCAAAATAAATTCTTAATCATTTAATGTGTGCAAATAAGATGGCAAAAAGTAATCAACAAGCAATTACGATTTCGTGAAAAAAAAAATAAAATATTAATGAATTTCAATTAAGTGTAGAACAATCATACCATTAAAAGAAAATAAATTGAATTACATCGAAATTTACGCTTAATCTACGTTATCTATACAGTGTTTTATGTCTCCCGAACATTTTATGAAATCACAGTTTTACCAACGATATGAACGTTTTCTTTTCTAACGAAAAACTTTGCACTGGATTATATAGTATGTGTATTACATTACTCAAATGATTTTTCCGGTCTGATAATGTAAAAAAATGTATATACATATATAATTATAAAATCGAGAAACTTACCAAAAAACAGCACAACCGCTGCATAGGCTTAAAAATTTTTTAATATAAAAACAAGTAAAAACGTTCCATTCGGTATAAACCGACTGAAAAATACCCTGCACTTTGACAATCTGAGTTTAAAAATTTGTTTTTGAAATATTTAGCAATAACTTTGATTACTAAATGGCAACCACTAATTGAACCTGTCGAACCACGCAATAGAAACTTCACGAATATGATGTCTTACCTATAAGTGGGCACACGATGTCCTAGTTTCATGAATCTAACTTTAATATTTTTCCAAGTATTTAAAATTAACTTTCGGAGTTATATGGCAGCTACACGATTGACAGGTTCGTCATTTTACCAAACCTTCGGAAATATACCTGACTTGAATTGGACACACGACTGCCGAGTTTCTAGCTCTAATATTTTTCCAAATATTTAAAATTAGCTATCAGAGTTGTATGGCAGCGACCCGAATCTGTCAAGCAGTTCCACCAAAACCTCAGAAATATATCTGACCTAAAATTGGACACACCAATGCCGATTTTCACGAATCTAGCTTTATGATTTATCAAAATATTTAAAATTAAATTTCGGAGATGTATAGCAGCTACCCGAACCTGTCAAGTAATTGCACCAAAACTTCGGAAATATATATGGTCTAAAATTGGACATACGACTGCCGAATTTCATGTATCTAACTTTATTATTTTTCCAAATATTCAAATTAATCTTCAGAGTTGTACAGCAGCTACCCGAACCAGTGCAGCCATTCCATTAAAATTTTCAGAACATATGTCAAGTGTAATTGGACACATCTTTGCAAAATTTGATATTAGTATCTCTATTACTTTTTGAAATATTTAAAAAAACCTCTTTGAGTTGTATGGCAGCTACCCGAACCCGTTGTCCGAATTGGTCCAATTACAATAGCAGCCGTTGTAGGCACAAAAGAAAAAACTTGTGAAAGTTTAGTGTCGATTGCATTATTTGTTTTTGAGTTATCATGCGATCAGACGAACAGACGGGCGGACGGACATGTCTAAATCGACGCAGAATTTTACGCTGAGCAAGAATAGATATATATGTTCATACCGGAGACGATTCCTTCAAGTGGTTACAAACTATTTCAAGGATTACATACATTTAGGATGTGTGATTTATGCAGTCTGACATAAAGCAAAAAGAAGTTTAAGGGCTGATTGCGTGAATAAATATATTTTTTAATTTTAATTTTAAAGACGGGTTTTATCTCGCTCAAATCAAATTGATCAAATGCGATACTGAAAATAAAGAGCAATCGACCGCCGATGTTTACTCTATATAGTATAATTTCAAAGTTATAAGCATTTATTTATATGCAGGAAATAAAGTTTTTTTTTTTTTTTAAATCGGGCTCTAACTCGAAAACGACTATATCTGCACACCCCTAACTTACACAGCTTTTTACTGTAAATTGGTCAAAGGTCACCCCTAAAATTATTTGTCACCTTATGCGAAACACCCTTTATATGTAATTTTTTCAACTAAACAGGGATAAAAGATAATCCTAAATACATATATGATATGAAGTTATCCATAATACGAGTCCATACATGTGTATATGTATACAGAATTCTAAATTGAAGTTAAAATTCTCGGAGGCTGAATTCTTGACAGTTTTTTATGGAAAAAAAAATTTTAAAATCAAATGCTGGAAAATTTCTATCAGAAAATCTTCTTTTTTTCTCAATTTTCTCAATAGACAACCTAGTAGACTTAACACGCAAAAAAATAAAATTTAAAAACCATTTATATAAAGAAAAAAATAAAGGAAAAAATTCAATTTTACTTTTTCAATATTCTTCCTAATTTGCTGCACATCTCATAATATAATAATTTACAGTTGCATAATATGACTTATGAGAATAGGCATTGTGATTAGTCAGTGGTGTACAAAATACATATTTGACAATTTAATTATCGATAAACAGATTTCTCTTGAAAAAAGAAAATTAAAGATACGCATTTTTTGAATCATATAAAAAAAATTTACGTAACTAAATACATATGTACCCAATACGTACATATATAACAAAAAATATGTCTCCTACAAGAAGAACCAAATGAAGGGTGACAAAAAAATTTCTTACATGGAAAATCAAATCGAGAAAAATTCTTTTAAAACCCATAAAAATAATCTAATTTTGCAAAAAAATATTCTAAAACGGCAACTGTGCCACTTACTTCATTATAAAACAAACGAATAACGTTGATTTCAAACTTACCGTTTTCGCACATAATAAATAAATTTACGATATTGTTATATTCTTATATTTTGTTTTTTTTTTTTCTTTCAAATTTTCATTTAGTAAAAATTCTTAACACATGAAAATAGTATTCAGTGCACCATCTTGTGATTAATAGAATTATTTAAAAAAAAAGAAAACAGTTCTTAATCTTTTTAGTAGGAACACCAACCTTTTTTTCAAAGAAAATTAAAGATTTTCAATTTTTTTGTGTTAATTTTGACATTTAAGCTGTTAAGAGAATAAGCATACAAAACATAGAGTTGCTATGTAAGTGGATGCTTATTTATTTTTCGACGTACGTTTATATATATATATATATTTTGAGACATATATATGGTTATAGATATAGAGCTTATTATTCACTTTTAATGTATATAACATCCAGTTACATTAATGCCCTACTAATATACTTTGCTTGCCATGCGAGGAACTACTTTACATATAGGTTTTGATTTTTGTAAAATAAATTTAGAAAGACTGTTCTCTTAGAATGATCGGCTATAAATATATTGTTCACTAATTGATTTTGGAGAACGAATATTTTAAACCGACCTTTTGCTGCCTTTTTCTATATATCTGTTTTATAGAAAGGAAATTCGAAAATACTTTCTTTAACACTATATTTTGAAGGAAAATTTTTCGAATTTAAATGAAATATTTATACAACTAGGTTAAGTTTTTTTGCTCTGATTTTGATAGTTAATGTAAAAATATTCTTAAATATTTTATATATATATGGACTCTATATATGTATGTATATCTAATAAAATGATATTTACAACCACAGATTATTAACTAAGTAATTGTGGATTAGTTAAACTCTATGACGCTATGAAACTAGTGCATGAGAAAATCATGCACTAGCCCTATGCTCCTTCTAGGAGTGAAGAAGGAAAAAAAAAAAAAAAAAAATTGTGGATTTATATAATACGTTTGTTCAATCATTCATTTGTGGACTATTTATGTATACAGAATATATGTAATATATTTCGTTTATGTTTTCAGTGTAAATTAAATTTATTAAAAAAAAAAAAAAAGAAAAACTTACCGGCCGTATCGATGATTTGATTCTTGACCACTAATATCCTGTTTCGGACCAGGCGTCACTATCGCCGGATGCGAATTAAGAACATGATGAGGAGATGTATGTACTGAAGGCAATATATTGGGTGAAAAACGAAACGAAAAATCACTGTGGTTGGTTTTTGTTTTTTTTGTTTTTTTGTTTTTTTTTTGGAAGAGGATTAAAAGAGAAGAAAAAATTATATATATATAAAAATTATAATTTATATATAAATATATATATATAATATATATATATATGTATATATATACATGTATACATATTGACATAATATATATATATATATACATATTTATTTATTTATATATACATACATATATTATACATATTTATATATATATCACATATATTTATATATATATGCATTTATACGTATACACAGAAGAAAGCGCAAATAACCAGTAAGAAAACATGATGTTTTTATTTTGCTGCCACCTATTTAAATATTTCCGAATTAATTTTTACGGGTTTTTACAGCATTTTTAAAAAACTATTAATTTTAGATAAAGTTTTTGAGGTTCAGAGAACGAGACAAAAATTATCAAATTAAAAAAAAATTTTCTTTAACAAAATGTCGAGTTTTCCATAACATAGGGCATATTTTTATACTTAAAAAGTATGAAACATAGAATTTTTGTGCTATATAACTAAAACATCATTAATATTATTATTTGTAGCAGAGAATCATTCCCAGTGTATCAAAAATATAAGTCTTGGAATTGATGTTAAGTCATAAATTTCAAGGTATGGTGCTTCGTGTAACGTAATCAATATTTATGTACGGTACCAACGCAAATTTTAGTTTTATTTCCATTTTGCTATATAGAAAGTGATACAAAACGATATACAAATATGTATATATACCATTGGTTGGAAGACCAAATATTTAGGGTTTTTAAAGTTATAGCAATTTTACCGAATTTTCATTGGTTTTTTTTAAAGATTTTCTAACATTTGAGTACTTAAATTAAAGCTTAAGCAGCTGGGCAAAATTCTGTAACAAAAATTTAGTTTTAGTTAAAGTTTAACACATAACGTTCGAAAATATCGAGTAAAAAAAAATAAAAAAAAGGGAAAATTCTATTTGTTTTGCTAAATTCGGAATTCTGGGTAAAATATAAAATCAAGTAAAATTTGATTTTGAGGGCTTTACTAAGTCTTTTAAAAACTAGTTGTTTGAAGCCCCTATCTTTTTCGGAACGGCGGTTAAACAAAGAAAGTTGGACAAGTAGAAATTTCATGAAAATTCGTTAAAATCGTTTTAACTCGTATGTTATTAGTAAAGTATGTAATTTTAATAAAAAAATTCTTATATTGTATATGTTAAATACAAATTAATATGATATGGTTAGCATGATTATTAAAAAAAAATCAAAAAATATGAGTTTAAGCGCGCAATCTCTACTGTATACACATATATAAATAAATATATTAGAATATATATATATATTTTTATACATATATATACATATATATGCATACATATATAGACAAAATAAAAAAATAACAAAAAGAAAATATTGTATACACATAATATATACCTTGTATTAATTGGTAATGAAGAAGGATACGGATTACTAAACCTAGACGCTGAATACACAGATGGCGTATGCCTGAAAATTTTATTAGGAAAAAGAAATTAAAAAATATGAAAAGCAAAATGAGAGAGAGAGAAAGAAAAAGAGAGAGAAATAAAAATAAAACTTCATTATTTCTTTCATAGTTTAACGTTAATTTTTTTTTTGTAATTATTTTAATAATATTAAAATATTGCCACAAAAAAAATGGGGTATTTCAAAAGTCAAATAAATAATTTTCTAAAACAGGCTAACTCTAGGCCATTAATTACCCACGAATTTAAATTAATCGCACTATAACAACAAGAACAAAAAAACTTCCGCAGCAAAGAATTTAATATCCCAACATTATACACCTTGAGAGACTGTAGTAGAAGAAAGTTCTATAAAAGCCACCCACTAGCGTTTCTATATTCCACCTACAATTTATTAAATAATAGCTGCTACAGCTTGGCTTCACACTTCACATTAAGCTTTCATTAAAGGTCAATAATAAAAGTTTAGAAATTTATCTTTAAATTATTTGCCATTATTGCATTTCTTGAATGTACGCATTTTTTCCAAGAATAGTATTTATTAAAACTCTGGGAATTGTTTAAACTATTTCTCTCTCATCTCTCTTTTCTTTACACTCTCTATAATGTAAATACGGATTTTCCAAAATTATATTGATATAAAATTGCAGTAAAAACTGTATATGAATTGTTTACACAATTCAACAATTATTACAAATTATAAAGCTGAATTGTGTATTAACGTATACCGTCTACACATCTACGTAGAATTACTGCAATTTCTAATTTCAATAAAAGTTATTTTCTAATGTTAATATTGTATAATCTATTTCATTATATTACTTATACATATTTACATTATGCAATGGAATTTCCTTTTATTCCACATTTTTATTAATTTAATTAAATCTAATTTTGTTTTTTTGTTTTTGATAAAATGAAATTTATTTTAATACACGTTTTTTGTATTTACATAAACAAAATACGGGAGAAAATAAACCTAATTAATAAATAAATGGAGAATGGAATTTTAAAGAAATTCTAATTCATATTCCTATATTAAATAAAATATAATATTTAAATTCTATACTAAAATAAAACTACTATTAAATTAAACGAGAAAAAATAGAGTTGACCTTGTCAACTCTGTGATACCCGTACGAATTGGTTATCCTATGTGCGAATAAATAAGCCATAACTGGCTATGGAACAGACAATGACTTTAAGTTGCCGTATTACCATATTAATTTATGCAAAATTTCAGTACTGTGTTTTTCAAAATACTGTGTGTGCCAAACTACTATTGAAGTTGTACGGCAGCTACCAGAAAGACCTAAGATATTTTAACGAATTTTTTCAAACACCTGCTAATTTATTCGCTTGTGTAAAATTTCAATACAATAGCTTTTATAGTTTCTGAGATATAGTCAAACAACTTTTGAAGTTGTGTGGCAGGTACCAGAAGGAGCCAAGTAATTTCAACGACTTTTATCAGACATATTCACCCTGCTAACATATTTGTTTGTGTGAAATTTCAATACCACAGCTTTTATAGTTTCTGAGATATAGTCAAATAAATTTTGAAGTTGTATGGCAGCTACCCGAACCAGTTCCCCGATCATGTCCAATTTAAATAGGGTTCTGGCACTTACCACAATTAATCATTTGTGAAAATTTGGTGAACTTAGCTCAATTAGTTTTTGAGTTATCGTTGGGACGGACGGACGGACGGACAGACAAAGCTAAATCAACTCAGAATTCGACGCTGATCAAAAACATAAACTTGAGTATATATCTAAGACCGTTATTTCTCAACGTTACAAACGGTAAGGCAAATTTAGTACACCCTTCGAACATACGTTCGTACGGGTATAAAAATAATTTTTAACTTACCAGGATGCCACCTGTGACATATCGGGACTTAACATTGGATAAGGATACTGACTAGCTGGAAAAGGATAAATCGCTGGCCTTGTAATACCTGAAATAAATAATAGAAACTTTTTTTTATCAATAAATTGTTTAAATAAAAATTAATATTTAATAATTCAAATAATTTGATCAAAACAGCACATATTTCGAATTTAAAAAATTAATAAAAAATTCTCAAAAAATACAATTCAATAAAATTTTAATTTGAAGATAACAAGATAGTAATAATGATTAAGTCTTTTATTATTTTCGAAATTCAAACAAAATTTTTTTTTGAGTAATCTGTAAAGCTTCTTCTGAAAACGCAATTCTAATTTAGTATTAAATTGCAACGTCTAAATATGTTTATTAAGAAGTGCTTAAACTATAAAATAAAATGATTTTAAAATTAATGAATGAATTACCAATTTATTTCTCTAATAAGCAATAAACATTAACTATGGATGCAGGTTTATACCCACGCTTAAAATATATAAGACAAATCATGACAAAGATGGTCAACCTGTAAATTAATACGTGGAATAACTTTTAAAATGTAAAAGGGGTAAATTTAAAAAAATTCGAAAAAAATAATTCATGCAGCATGTTGTAAATTAAAAAAAATCTGATGTGTTCAGCACATAACCGACCGCATTGTGTATCGTCTAGTTAAGTGAAAGTGTTACAGAATATTATAAAAATGTCTGTTAAATATTTCTTTCCAATTTTTAGGGCATTAGTACGATTATAGTTATATATACCTAGAAAAATGTAAATTTGGCTCTTAGTAGAGTTTCGCTTTATGCTACCCGAATTCCCTGAAATGCTCGCCAGTTTTTTTCGGTAAGAAGCAGAACTCAAATATCAAATTTCAAAAAATTCCATAAATTAGTTCCGTAGATATGGTGAAAAATGTAAAATCGGCCCGCAAATAAGTTTTCGAGTTCTGATCTTTCCAAAAAATTATATGTTTATTGTTTGAATTCAAATATTAAATTTCAATGAAATCGGTTAATTATTTCTCTTTATATACACAAAAATATATATTTGGCCTGTAGTAAATGTCCAGTTGCTGATGCCTGATTTCTTCCAAAAGTTAGGAATTTTCGCGTACGGTCGAGTAAAGCTTATATATAAAATTTCAAGTAAATCGGATTAATATTTTCTTCAAAATGGTGATAAATTTAAAATCGGCCCGCAAATCAGTTTTCGAGTCCTGATCTTTCCAAAAAATTTATATGCTCATTGTATATTTGTATACAAAATTGTATATTTGGAACGTAGTAAACGTCTAGTTGCCGACGCCTGATTTCTTCAAAAAGTTAGAAGGTTTCGCGGAAGGTCGAGCGAAATTTCAAGCAAATCGGTTGAGTACTTTCTTTAAAATGGTCAAAAGTGTAAAATAGGCCCGCTAAAAAGTGCAGTTCCCGAGGCCTGATATATACCAAAAGTTGAGCAATCCGTGCCATGGTCGAAATAAACTTACATATAAAATTTCATCAAAATCGGCTGAGCCGAACTTGAGATACACGCGTGCTCAAACAGACCGACAGGTTGCTAAAAATAGTTTACTTACACTTCCCTACCATGGAGAAGTGTGTTCCCACCGAAAACTCGATATGAAAAATTTCTTGCCATCACATAACCTATACCTATTGTATACACAAGACGGTCGGTAAAAATTGATTCAAATGGTCCAAACTTGGTGAACACTTTCTTAATATGTAAGAACCCTTTTTTACCCTTTAAGAGCTAAGATCATATTTAATACTTGGTACAGACATATATAGAATTATGTGAATAATTTATTTTGAAAATAATAATTTGCAAAACAATCAATTAAGCGAAATTTTGGTTGCTTATATAAAATAAACGTATGTACCTATAGGCCATTTACAAAATAAACCATTTAGTGATTTTAAAAAATATCTAATTGATTTATTTTAAGAAACACACAAAATTTAAATATACATATGTAATTCTTTTAATTTATCTTAATATTATTCAAAGAAAAAACAATATATACGAGTACCTATACATTTACATAATATTTTCAAATTAACCGATCAATTAATTTTTTAAGGATAATAATTGTTTTTTTAAGAGAAATATTTGTAAATTTCTTCTACGAATATAAAATAATTGGGGTTGATACGAGTATATTTTTATTTATTTATTTATTTCATTGTACTCATTGTTATTATTACGTATTTAAATCCTTATAATCTTGTAATATAATATGAGTTTATAAGGCGATTTTATATTGTAGTGAAATTTATTAATAATATGAAATTTTTAAAAAGAATGAAGCAAAAAAAAAACCAAGACTTATATGCAATTGTTTTTCATTGTTATTTTGTTAAATTTCTAATAGAAAAATACAAAAAAATTAATAAAGTTTTAAAAAAGAATAAACCTTACTCAATAATTATACATACACCATCAAAATAGGAAATAGTAACGCGAAGGGTTAATAAAATTGTCATAATGGTTAAACGTTGATTTAATAAATTAAATCATAAATATAACAAAAAAAGAAAATACAATAGTAAATTTGTTAAAATGAAGGGATCAGTATTATTAAATTATGACATAAATCCCTTCACAAAAAAAAAAGAAAAAAATGGGTCCTTTACCCATAAAAACACGAAACTATTTTTACGGATTTTTGTATTTGTTTTTTTTTTTCATATTTCTTGCTTCCCTTGTTTCATTGTGTAAATTTGTTTAGTCCTTCAATCTTTTTATATATACATATACTTATAGAAAATAATAAACATTTTATAATGTGTAATGGTAACACAAGTCAATTATGGTACCAAACTACCTTTTTCAAAAAAAAAAATACAAAACAAATTATCGAACGGGGAATTTAACAACGCCGACGTGGTTAAGTAAAGTACACAATTAAAATTAAATAAAAAAATGCGGAAAATAATGAATATGAAAAAATAAAACGGAAAAATTACAATACGATCATAGAATACCTACCAAAAAAAAAAATATGCAATAATAATTATATGTAAACACATACAATAGCTTTTGTTTCCTGAATTATTCAATTTTCAACAAGGAGTATATTCATTTTTTAATGTAATTATGAAATACATCTACCTATCTATATTTAATGCATATGTATGTATGTATACTACATAAAATATAGTAAGGTAATTTTTAATCAATTCGCAAAAGTAAGTATTCTAGACTAGTTAAAACATATTAAATTCGTATTCTACCTTTGTTTAAAAAAAACCCATTCCTCATACAACAATACTAAAACTACCTCCATATATAAATATCCATTAAAAGTATGTACGTATGGGTATTTTTGAAAATGCAGTTCTAAAGTTAGAGGTTGAAAGCTTTAAAAACTCTAGATTTAATTTCTACCCTATAAGCTTCGCAGTTCTAAGCTTAACAATTGCATTTTTAAACAGGCCATATCGTCGAATGTATGCTACTTTGATCCACGATGTCTATTTCTACAATTTATCACGTAACTTTGATCTTTATACAAAATATTTGGATATGGACCACAAGATATATGAAATTTTTGCTATTAAAATTGTATATATGCTTAATTGGTCTACGTTTTTGCCGGAACATTAACCTGTTCATGAGGTTGATTTCATTCATTGCTTTGAAGACAGACATCTGAAAAATTTAGAAGTTTATAGCTCCTTGCACCTGGTGAAACTATTTCAGAAAATAAAATTAACGAATATTAATTTGAAAATGGTTCTTGTACCTTCATCGTGATTTTAAAACTTTTTCTATTTCCACTGGAATGTTAGATTTTAGCAAAGTTCAATTTACAAAGATACAAAATAGTTTTTATGAAAAAGACATGGTATTAAATTTTAAACATCTAAAAACTCATCCAACTCCAAAGAATTTGTTTAATAATCAGCCTCATACTACAAAACCTATTCAAATTGATACAAACAAAATTAACGATATGAAAGACTCATTGAAATATCTTCTAGTGGCGAGATTAAATATATTATAACGCTTTATCTATCTGAATCTTCTTAAACTGTTGTAAGCTATTAAAAGTACAGAATCTATTTTCTATATATTTTTTTTGTTTTACGTATAAATATATATATATATATCATATATATTTTAAGGCAGATAGAAAATTATACCCACCTATATTACTTACTTTGTTTCAAGAACTTCTTTGCCTTACAATTTTTATTTATAGTTATCATCAGTCAATTCATATAAAAAATGCAACCACATTTTTATATGCACTTTGAAAACTTGCATTTCGATAATAGGTACTAGAATCTGCTAAGACTGCCAGAATTCAGGTTAACCCTATGTGATCAATCCAATTCAATGGTTTTGTTTAAATTCTTTTTTTTCGCTTTATTATTTAATGTGATTTATTGAAATCAATCTGATCTATTGAATCTGATTTATTGAAAATAATTTTATTATATTTTTAAGTACAATATTTTTTAATTGAATTCAATTGAAAATCTATTAAATTATATATTTTCTAATCTAAAATTGAAAATGCTTTGTTTTTAATTTTTAACTGATACCTGATTACCTAGATACATAAGTACCTATATATCCAGATAATTTAAAACAAAACAATGATCAAGACAATGTTTTTCCATAATACCAAAGAGCAACTTAAATTTTAAGTAAAACCCTTTAAAATATTATAAAAAATGTTAGTGATCGCGGCAACGCACAAGTAAGTAAATATACCTGGCTCTACCACTAATGAAGTGGTGCCTACTAAAAGTTAATATAAATTGCTTTAAAATTTTATTACTTATATTGAATTGAATAATTTAGATTGATTTATTTTACCAACCAATACTAAATATTACATGTATACATTATGTATCACATATTCTAAATAAACGGTATCCCTTCCAAAATTCGAACATACTCGGTTGGGTCAAACCAATGGTTTGTATTGTAGCAGATTTCCCTTCAACAATTGAAAATACTGCTAAAATATAGTCTATGTATACCCACCACTCTTAAAATTATTCTCATTCATAAACGAACCTATTTCTAGAATTGCATATATTTCGGATGAATGAT